GAAAAACTGCTCCTCTAGAAAAACGTTTGGCAGGGCTCCTCTAAAGGAGCCAGAGCCAGAGCCGGAGAGGAGCTCTGCCGAACAGGCCCTATGAAACAACCCCGATTTCCGCGAAGGGAAATCCACAGAGTCGAAGTGTAATAAGACCGTTGTAGATCATATTAACCAAATTCCAGTTGAATATCACATCCATACAACGATAATATCAGAGTACAAATAGTGCGGAATTACATAAATTTATTACATCGCCACATTGGCGGAATCAAAAGTAGCATTCATTCAGAACAGCTTGAAGATAAGATCGCCAAACTCGAGCGTAGGAACGAACCCCTCAACCGTCCAACTCCTCGGAGCTATACTCCTCAGCAGAACTTGTGTGCCAAAATTTATCAGTACGATTTGTACTGGCCACTCCCACCCTATGAGCATTGCTTTGTGGAAATTGGATGCAAGTTGGATATGATCAAAAGGAACCTATAAGGCTGGGGTTTCCTATGTATTAGCATTTCAAGTATATATTAACAGTTGGTCAAGTTTTAACACCATTCCCATGCACATTCCACCCAATTCCCCTTCCAGAGCCAGGTTTTGATCCTGGGATCGATATACCACCATCTCCACACCATCTCCATACCACACCCATACCATCGCTTAGTCGACAGGCCAACTCCCTCTCGGCACTGTCTCAAGGCCCGTAGCCCCTGGCTACGTCCGAACACTCACTCCCGGGGGAGAAAAGAAGGACTCATCTCACTATCTAGTTTAAGCGAAACCCAGGAAAGGTCCATAGCCGACAAGTCGGCATATGTATCGATCGATCAACCATACACTCTGTAGAGGTTTTACATAACCACAAGATCCGCCTTCCTCGCTGACCGTCATCAACTGGGTTGATTCCGGCCGCTTGCTAGCCTAGGATAATGCCACTCTACCATTCAGCCCTGGTACACCCCAAGTCTAGTCTGGGGTGGCTGAAACTGTGAGTCATGAGCCGGGTCCACAAGGTCTCCATGAAGTCTCGGAAGGGTGTGGACGGAATCCTCCGCACCCCGTACCTCCCTCACACTGTCCGCTATCAACCTAGTAGTAGTGGCAATATCCTACCAAGTAGTCCGGCCGTCCCGCACCATATAGGGCGAGTGGTACGTAAGGCTTCCAGGTGAATCTGAGTACTAGTAAGTCCTTAGGGATGACCAAGTCAGAATGTCTTCATCAGGGTTTCCATTTATCGTGCCACCACAGCACCTCCACCCTGGGCTCCTCCCATCACAGGTTCACACCCAGGGCCACCTCATATACTATTTACCCACCACAGGTATCCATTCCAGGGGTGCCCAGGTTACACCCCACGGCAAGACTTGCCCCAGGCTCGTCGTATACTCCAACTTGGTCGACACAACCCTCACCCTCCACGCACCCATGTCACACACGCAGCACTCTCCCCATAGTCCAGATAACACCAGTTTCCACCACGCATTATTGTAGTGCAAGCGTAGTAGAAGTAATAAGCAATGAAATATAGTAGCAAGCGTGTACTAGCCTAACAGCAGGGTGAGCAGGGATAAGGTTGCGTCAAGGTAAAGGCCATCAAGAAAGCATACCACCATGCAAGTCCTACCATAGTGTGATCATAACAATAAAGTAAAGCACTAGCATTTCTATTTTAGCCATGCGTAATAGGTGCTACGAGATTGGGTGAGATGTGGCACCTTCAGTGTAGTCGTCTCCGTACTCCTCACGGTACTCATGATCATCGTCCATCCGGTTCTCCTCTGAGTCTGCAAACGATCGTATTATAGTCGCGTTAGCGACGTCTATAGAATAGCACAAAGAAGCAATGAAAATTCAAAAGAGCCAAATGCACTCAAATATGGGTTCATTGCGTAGAGCTCGATTTTAGATGAATTTTGGTCCTGGTTTCGTATTTTTCTGAGGTCATATGAATTAGTTATGAATTTCTGAAGTTTAAATCATTTCTGAAAATGGAAAAAGGCTGAATTAATCCTGGGCTGACACGTGTCACGCTGTGACTGGTCCACGTGGCATGATGACGTCATCGTCTCGGTTTCGTGCTGACAGGTGGGGTCCAGCTGACGTCAGCATGACGTCATCAACGTCGTCAGTTCCGACAGGTGGGTCTAGGGGCTCTTGGGTCACTGACATGTGGGTCCGGTCAAAGTCAACGTTAGTCAACGGCGAGTCAACGGTCAACGGTCTACGGTGGTCCGAGTCCACCCTTCATCTCTCAGGCGTGGTCCATGTGCACCGAGTTCACGCGTGTGTGGCCAGCGAGGGGAGTCTTCCCTGCTTTCTTGCCGGCGTGTTCCCATCGGCGACGTGCTCACCGGCGAGCTCCCACAACGGCTCAGGCATCCAATTGAGGTGGGGAAAAGCCTCCCCGCGCCATGGCGACTGCAATGGTGGGGTCAGGGCGACGGATGGTGCTTCCTAGGTCACTGGCCATGACGAACGGCGGCTCGGCGGTGCTCACCGGTGGCGAGGTCGCGCGTGTGGGCTCCCTGGAGGCTCGGCGGGGCGGCTAAGAGCTTCTGTGGGTCTGTGGAATCACGGTGAGGGCGTCCAGGGCTCAAGGCGGGGCTCGGGTTCTCCTGTGGCCGGTGGGGGCTCCCCGGCGGCCATGGCCACATGGTGACGACCGCGAGGCACGTGGGTGCACTACAGCGGGGTGGTCACAGCGTGCGCGTGAGTTACTCGTGGCTCTAGCGAACAAGACGGGCGAGACAAGGAGACGCCAGGCGCTCCCAGTGGACCTGCCCACAGTGGAGTCGACGCGGTGACGGCGGTGCTCCAGCCATGGCGCGGTGTGGCCTCCGGGGTCCTCCAGTGACCTACGTCTACCCTGATCACGAGCGTGGCGTCTTCCGCGGCGAGAAGGAGCCAGCCAAGGCGGTGGCGTCACTTCTACTACGGTGATGCGGCCGCGGTGGCTTTGCCACGGCCGTGCGCGTGTCTACGGTGTGCGCCCGTGCGTGCTCGTGTCCATGGGGGCTTAGGAGGAGGTCTCAGCGGCGTACGGCTCACCGTCGGTGTTGAGGGCGAGAGGATGGCGGTGCAGTGAAGATTCGTGGCCGTGAAGCTCCGGAAGCAGTGCCGTGCAGTGTCGTCCGCACCAGCCCCGGTGATCTCCCGGTCCTCCTCCCGGCAGCGGCTCCGCCCTCTTTGTTCTTCTCTTCCCCTCGGCCCTCGTGCTGGGTGGTCTGGTGGATGGCCACAAGTGGCGGCGGGCGATGGAAGGGCGCTAGGGCAACCGAGGGCCTTGGCTTTATAGCCGGAGCTCCGAGCTCCAATGGCGGACGACTGGGGATTGCGCCGAGCGCATCGAGCGGCATCGCGGGGCGTGGGTGGTCGGCGCAGAGATTGCGTGGGCGCGGCGCAAGGGGGACAGGGCCATGCCCCGGGCGTGACCCCCTGGCCCGCCCCTGCCAGCGCTGTCGGGCGCCAGTCGCGTAGGTGGTTGAGGCGTGGGTGAGGAAGACGACACTGTGGACGGGGTGGCTGACGTGCGGGGCCCGCATGGCAGCGGCTGCAAGAAAAGGCGGGGAGGCGCGCGGGCGTGAGCGGCGCGCGGGGCTAGTCGCTGGGCTGGCCGCGTGAGTTGGGCTGTCTGGCTTGGCCGGCTGCTACACGTGCTAACTGGGCCGGCTGGCTGCTACTGCGTGCTAGCGGGCCGAGCAGGCCGAGCCAGCTGCGGCCCTCTTCCTTTCTCTTTCCTTTTCTTTCTTTTTTTCTTCTTCCTTGATTTGAATTCAAATTTGGTTTGGGTATTTGAATTCAAAATGGTGCACCATATTCATTGGAGATTTAGATATGAGGCCCACTACATTCTTTTATATATATTAGGAATTTATTTAGCTATTTGTATATCAACATAGGTGTAGTTTGTTATATATAGATATAGAATTAGTTTTCTCTTTTACACATTTATCCTTTGGTTTGAATAGTAATTACTTTATGGTGTGTTTCTTTAAAAGAGTTGTTAAGCATCACATAAAACAAATGGAAATCCAAATTACGATTTGAGTTAACAATGTATGCATCACTTTATTTGTTAGAAGTTAATTAATCATAATCAATAAATGACATGCCATGCTTATGTATTGACTTTGGTTGGGGTTAGACCTAATGCATCTCTTAGGTTGGGTTTCTATACACGACACTCATCATCACATGAAAGTTTTAAGAATTTTTTTTTTGTAGTTGGTATTTTTGGTGTGTGGATTTTTTGGGTTGTTACACCCTAAGACATTACTTCCTAGGAGGTAATGGTAGAAAAATAGAAAAAATAAGGAAAATATCTTAATATTAGATCTAGCTGAACTACATGATCTTACTTTCCTATTTGATGTAATGTGACATGCGGATATAAGATCTAAAATATCTTTCTTCTCACGTGTTCATTTTTTTTGTAATATTTTTAATATAAAAAACTAACGTTTGACAACTTATTAATTGCTCTTAACATGAACATATCTTGAATGTTCCATTTATTTTTTTCTTTTTTGTTTTGAGCCGCATGTTGCTGTTTTTCTTATAATTTCCCTAGTATATCTGGTACAGTAGTTGTCATCCCAAGTTGGATCGTAGTAGTGATGATATGATTAATAAGTGGCTGACAATATTTTAGTTTTTTTATTAAAAGTGTAAGCTTTTCAAATGTACATACATACTGTCACGTGTCACATTTCTTGCTTGCTACGCGGGTCACAGATCAGAAGATGATTCGCAGGATGTAAAAAAGGAGAGCATCAGCTAGCTTGATAAGGAAAGAAGGGCGCCACTTTGCTAGCAGGCATTTTGTTTCTTGATTATTTTATTGTATAATTATTTTTTCTATTCTAAAAATGAAGGGTTTTGATTTGTTCAAACTCTTACCTCCTAAGTCCTATATAAGTGGTAATAGTTGTACCATAGCGAGGCCCTTAACAGCAAGCATACATTTACCAGGCTTAGATCCTTGATTCCAAGTTCACCTTGATCCTTCAACCAGCAAACCTTCTCCCAGGTGACCGGACTTTGAGCGCCAGACATCGTGCCGTCCCCGTTCCAGAGAAAAGAAGAATCCAAAACAGCGTCGACCAGCACCGCACGGGCATTGCATTGAGTAGCCCCGCTTGCCATCCAGCAAGGTATCGATCGGCCTTGGCCAGAGTGGGCGAGAAGGCGGTCACCGACAGCTTGTTTACTGAAAGTGGGAATGCTGCTTGTCTGCAGCCCAGTGTGTTGATCATTGAGATGCAGTGGCTTCGATCATGTGGATTGGAACTGCCGTGCTCTGAGTAGTTGATTCGCAAGCCAGTGGCCGCTTCAAATCTGTCAAGGATGATCTTCAAGTTCAGAATGTCTTGGAACTCACCTCGAATGACGACTAGAGTGTCGTCCTCGTACTGGAGAACAGGGCATGGGGCGTCATCAACAAGAGGGTGCCTAACCAAGTCGCGGCTACTCTTGATCAACTGTTGTAAGACGTTTACCATAATGAGGAACAGATACAGTGACAGTGGGTCACCCTACCGTAGCCCACGCTTGCAAGAGAATTATGGACCTGGGCATCCATTAACTAGAATCTAGAACAGCTGAGTGCGACGACCGAAGGAGTTGTAGGATCCACTGTCTCCACAACGTGTCAAATCCTCTGGCTTCTAGAATCTTTAGTAGACCGTCCCAATTCACCGTGTCGAAGGCTTTAGCAAAGTCCAGCTTAATGGTGAGCGACGGTCTTTTACGCTTGTGGTAGTGTTGTGTGAGTTCCACTGCCACCGCATGAAGAAAGCTCTCCGCAATAGACCTTCCCTGGAGGAAGCCTGTTTGACGGCTGTCGATGAGCTTGGCAATCATCTTCTGCAGCCGGAGTGTCAACACCTTTGCTATAATCTTTATTGAGGAGTTCTGGAGACAGATTGGGCGGGACACATCCACCACAACCGCACCTGCGTTCTTAGGGATTAGAACCATATACGACCCGTTGATCCTTTAGATCAGCATGTTAGATTGATCTTCACCGATTGGTCCTGGGCCTTTGGATCCGCGTCCTGATCGGGGGCGTTCAACCGCTTTATGGTTGGTGGGCTCTCGTCGCACAGCGCCATAAAAAAGGGAGATGGGGGCTGGGGCACAAGACATGAGAATCACCTGAGCCGCCAGACGCCCCACCTACAGTTCCTAAACCCTAAACCGATCTAGTGAGGGGGCGTTGCCAGCGACGGAAAGACCGCCACCGCCGCCTCTGCACCGCCGCCACTGCGTCCGTGACTTCACCGCTGGACCTCACCGCATCACCAACAAGGACGCCATGGCAAGCTCGTCTTCCACGAAGGCGGCCGATGGTTTGCACCTCCGCAACCTCTCTCTCTCACTCTATCTGTAAATCCCGTACTAGTTTATGTTCTAGGACTTGCTATTTATCCCAAATGTCAGTATACATGCTAGATCTATGGCTAGATGATCCTGTCAAGTACATCAATGGTATCAGTCGTCTAACTAGGTGTAGATCTAGTCTTTGGGGTAGAAATCACAAAGAAAACACAAGGAGGGGACTCGATTCGAATCGGATTGAAACCCCACCCGACTCGACCCAAACCCTAACCCTAGATCGGACTTGCTCCGAGAAGAAGAGAAAAGAAGATCCAAACAGAGAGAAGAAGAAGGGGAAAGGGGAAGGGCTAGGGAGGTGGCTTACCTTGCCGGCCTCCACTCACCGAAGCACTCTAGGAAGGACCTCCGCGCCTCTGCACCACAGCTATGCTAGGGCGCCGCCACTAGGCCGCTTGACGGCGGCGCGCTCACCCGCAGGGGAGCGCGCACCGGCGAGGGGGCCGGCGACGGCGCCACCATCTCTCTGCCATCTTCGGTGGCTCTCTGCGCTCACTCGCTCGGTGGCTGCTGCTGAGAGAGAGAATGGAAGAGAGAGGAGTGAGCTAGGGTTCGGGGAGCATCGTCGACGTCGGGTTTTTGATCCGGCGAGATCAACACGCCGTCTAATGGCTCAGAGCAATCGGACTGGATTGAGCCCAGGCGGGCGTGCGCAGAGGGCCACTTTGCTGGCCCAGGCCCAGGTTGCGGCCTAGGCGTAGGGGAGCGGGCGCGCGCGCTGTGTTGGGCAGCTGCTGGGCCACGAGTGCGGGCGCGCGGGCGGCATTTCGCCGCTGGGCCGAGCATTGTTTCAACGGGCTAGGCCAAATGAACAGTAGAAACTAAGTTATTGTTTTATTCATTTTCAGAAGCAAATTTTGATAATTTTTTATCCAGTTTCAATCTCTATCAAAATTTAAATCAATGGGATAATTTTTCCAGAGAGTAGATTAGTATAGTAAAATGCTTCTGAAAAGTAGATAAATATTTTTTTTTCATGTTTTCGTTGTAATGTTAAAGTTTATTATCTTCTAATTAAATTCGAACCAACGGGAGAATTTAATTTGAAGAGCAGTTGAATTTTATTCAGTAAATTATAATATTGTTATTTTTCTGACCAACGTTGATAATAGCAATATTATAATGATTATTCATAAGTTTTTCTATGCATTAATTCTATTTCTGCCCAACGGTGATGTAGAATTAGTGTATAAGAATGTTGTATGCTTTAATTTTGACCAATATTAAATTAAAGCATACAATTATGATGTCATATTTTCTCACTATCTCTGACGGGGTTTTTCAGGACTCAACCCAATGACTTTTATCTCGCCCATACCGTCTCTTGAAGGGGGCAACTATAGGGTATGGTGAGAGAAGTATGAACTAGCACTTGCGCTGTCTGAAAATGACCTAGTGCTTATCTCTCCGTGTCCTACTGAGCCAGTGGACCCGTGAGGGAAGAAAATGAGTCTGATGCTGATTTCACTGCTCGGCAGCGAGATCATGCAGAAGTGCGGATGAAATATGATCTCGAACGTAAGAAATGGAACATTTTAAACCGCAAGTGCTTGATGGTGGCTAAGTCCATAATTTCAGATGCTATAAGGGGGTCTATCCCAGATTGTGAGACCGTCACAGAGTATTTTAAGAAAGTGGAAAGTCAGTTCACTGGCTCTTCAAAGATTTATGCCAGTACTTTGATCAAGAAATTGTTCAATAAGAAATACACCGGTGGCGGTATCAGAGAGCACATACTGAAAACGAGCAACACAGCTTTGAAGCTGAAGCCAATGGATTTAGGGCTCAATGATGATTTTATGATTTATTTGGTTTTTGCTTCCTTACCTAAGGAATACAAAACTTTTATTGTTAATTACAATATGCAGCCCGACAAATGGGGTACAGAGAAGCTCATTGCAATGTGTGTTCAAAAAGAGGAGAGGCTAAAAAGCTCACAGGATGACAACAATGCTCAAGTTGAGAAATATCAGTGTAAATGGTGCAAGAAGCATGAACATTACCAGAGGGACTGTCCAGACTTCCTGAAGAGCCTTTTGAAGAGGGGTGAGGGTTTCATTACATTCATAGATGAATCATTGTATTTAAGTTATACAAAATTTACTTGCTGGATTGATTTAGGTTCAACTATTTATGTTACAAATTCATTACAGAGATTCCGTACGAGGAGAACCCTGCAAAGAGGAGAAAGAAGAATTAAAGTTGTAAATGGAGTTGAAGCTGAAGCTGAAGCCATTGGAGACCTTTCTCTAGAATTAGATGATGGTTTTAGACTTTAACTTTCAGAGTTTCTTTATATTCCCTTTTTGCGTAGAAACTTGATAAGTGTTTCAAGATTAGATGATGATGGATATGATTGCCATTTTGGTAATGGCAGATGTCGGATTGTGATTAATAATAAGTGTGTTGGTCTTGCCTTTCAACAAGACAAGCTTTATTTATTATCACTTTCTGAGAATGTGAATGATGTGAGCACTGAGAATGAAAATGCTTCCTTGTCTATGAATGCAACAAATAAGTGAAAGAGAGTGCATGATATATCTTCAAAATTATGACACTGTCGTTTAGGCCATTTTTCGAGGGGGAGAATAGAGCGATTGATTAAGAAATCAATTCTTCTGCCTTTAGAATTTTCACATTTAGAGCAATGCATTGATTGCATAAAAGGAAAGTACGTTAAGAAAATAAAGAAAGATGCCAAACGAAGCGCATGAATTTTAGAAATAGTTCACACAGACTTTTGTGGTCCTTTTCCTATGAAAAGTGTGGATGGTTATGATTCATTTATAACATTCACAGATGATCACAAAAGATCGAAAGCGTTAGATAAATTTAAGATATTTAAGGCTAAAGTAGAAAATCAGCACAACTAAAGATTAAGGTGGTAAGGTCCGACCGTGGGGGAGAGTACTACAATCGACACACCCCATATGGCCAAGTTCCTAGACCCTTTGCAAGGTTCTTACAGAAAAATGGCATAGTAGCTCAGTATTCAACACCGGGCGAGCCTCAACAGAATGGAGTAGCTGAAAGACGCAACCGTACCTTAATGGATATGGTGAGAAGCATGATAAGTTACTCTACCCTACCGATAAATTTATGGATGGAGGCATTAAAAACCGTCATTTATATTCTTAATCGAGTGTCAAGCAAGTCGATGCCCAAAACACCATATGAGTTATGTACAGGAAAGGAACCCTCACTTAACTATTTACGTGTGAGGGGTTGTCCAGCTGAAGCAAAAGTTTTTAACCCAAACATAGGGAAGCTAGACTCCAAGATAGTCAGTTGCCATTTCACTGGCTATCCAGAAAAATAAAAAAGTTATCGCTTCTATTGTCCTGACAGATAAACGAAGTTTGTAGAAACAAGACATGCTGTCTTCTTGGAGGATGATATGATCAGGGGAGCATGGTAGCGCGAGAAATTAGTTTTGAAGAGAAATGGATATACGTGCCCACTCCTATAGTTCAGGAGCCATCCTTCACGCTACCTGTTGTTGCTGTACCAATAGTGCAAGACACTGTAGTAACATCACCTGTTGTTAGTTCTCCTATAGCAACAATGAATGAACATGAGGAACATGTCCTTCAGGATAGAACCCGTTGTCACAAATAAGGGAGAGCAACAACATCCTCATATAGAACAAGCGTCATCTAACGAGGCTCCTAGAAGGTATCAAAGAGTCAGGAGATCAGCCATTCCTGATGACTACGAAGTTTATGAATGTGAGGAATTTCAAATGGAGGGTGGTCCCACCTCATTTGAAGAAGCCATGAGAAACACTCACTCATCCAAGTGGCTTGAACCCATGGAAGATGAAATGAAATCAATGAAAACCAACGGTGTTTGGGAGTTAGAAACCATTCCTAAAGGAGTCAAGACAATAGGCTGTAAATGGGTCTACAAAACCAAACATGACTCCAAAGGAAATATAGAAAGATTCAAAGCACGACTTATGATGAAAGGCTTCACACAAAGAGAAGGTATAGATTATAATAAGACATTTTCTCCAGTCTCAAGTAAGGATTTTTTTAGAATTATAATGGCATTTGTAGCACATTATGATTTCGAATTACATCAGATGGATGTAAAGACGGCGTTCCTAAACGGAGATCTGGAGAAAAATGTTTACATGGCACAACCGAAAAGGTTTTGTTGTGGAAGGAAAAGAACATATGAGATGCCGCCTGAAGAAATCAATTTACGGATTAAAACAAGCTTCAAGACAGTGGTATTTAAAGTTTGATAGTATAATAAGAAAGTTTGGGTTTTAAGAAAACGTAGAGGACAATTACGTTTATGCAAAGTTCAAGAATGGGAAATATATTTTCCTAGTCTTGTATGTGGATGACATCTTGCTCGCTAGCAGTGATGTTAATGTTCTACTAGAAACAAAGAAGTTCTTCTCCTCGAAGTTTGATATGAAGGATCTCGGTGAAGCTTCGTTCGTCCTAGAAATAGAGATTCACCGAGATAGAAAAAGGGGTTTTAGGATTATCACAAAAGGCATACTTAGAAAAAGTTCTAAAAGAATACAATATGCAAAATTATAAGTCTTCACCTGCTCCTATAGTCAAGGA